TTTGCAATTTTCTGTTAAGGTGTAACAATGTGCCAAATCTGACTAGTGTTCTTTCTCCTATGTATATGATGAGTGGTCTCTATTATATTATTTTATTATGATGTTGTTAGATTAGTGCAGTTCAGAGTCCTGAAATATAAGCTTTGATTTTGGTTGTTATCATTACATATGGTCAAATGTGTGGCATCAGGATTGGTGGAAGATCTATCAACAATCTGCATTATACAGATGACACAACACTGCTGGCTGAAACTGAGGAGGACCTGAAGTGCTTGCTGCAGAAGGGTCAAAGACTGCAGCCTTCAATATGGATTGAGGCTCAATGTCAAGAAGACAAAGATTCTTACCACTGGACCAATGGGCGGCAGCATCAGGATGGATGGTGAAGAGATTGAGATTGTTAACAACTTTAGTCTTCTTGGCTCCACAGTCAACACTCTTGGCACCAGCAGCCAGGAAATCAAAAAAACGTATTATGATGGGAATGTCTGCTGTTAGGGACCTCTCCAAAGTACTGAAGAGCAATGGTGTCACTCTGGAGACTAAGGTGGGTCTGATACAGGCCATGGTCTTTGCAATCACTTGTTATGCATCAGAGAGTTGGACAATGACTAGGAAGGATAGACGGAGAATTGATGCCTTTGAGCTGTGGTGCTGGAGAAGAATATTGAATGTACCATGGACTGCTAAGAGAACAAACAGATTTATCCTTAAGAGAGTTAAACCAGGCTGCTCCTTGGAGGCAAAGATTCTGGGGCTTCATCTGACATACTTTGGACATGTTGTAAGGAGGGACCATGTTGGAGAGGGACATCATGCTTGGGAGGGTGGAGGAACGGCAAAAGTGGGGAAGACCCTCTATGAGGTGGATTGATTCAGTGACTGGGATAATCAGGATGGATGTGTCAGAGGCAATGTGATTGGCACGGGACAGAGCAGGGTTTAGGGCTGTTTTACATAGGGTCACCATGAGTCGCAAGTGACTCGACAGCACATAACAACAACATCAAGATTCAACTACTGGTCTTGTTGATGGTTTAAATTGTGTACCTGTTTACAATTTCATTGATTTTTGCCTTAATTTTTATAATTTCATTTTTTTAGAGAGTGTCAGGTTTTCTTGCTGTTCTTTTTCAGCTTGTTGGAGGAGTTGGGTCGAAGAATCAGTTATCATTTTTTTCTTCTCTTTTGATGTGTTTGCTTATTGCTATAAATTAACCTCTAATTTTCTGTTTCCTAGAGGTTTTGGTAAGTTATGTTTTCATTGTTATTTGTTTCAGTAAATGCTTTTGTTTCATTTTTTAAATTTCTTCTATTATTACCCACTCATGTTCAAGCAAGGTGTTGTTCAACTTTCAAATGTGCATTTTTTTTTCTCTTTTATCCTCTTGTTATTAATTTCTGATTATGCACCATTGTAGTCTGAGATAATGCTTTGCATTATTTTTGTGGTTTTTTAAATTTATTTATTGATACTTATTTTGTAACCTAAAATGTGTTCTTTTTGGAGAATGTTCCATGCACATTGGAGAAATTCCTCTTGGCTTTTGCTTGTAGATTCCTGTAATTCTTTGAGTATGTTTTTTCACCCATTGAAAATATTCTGTCATTGTTCTTTTGAATTCTGTCAGAAAGTTCCATCAGACTTCCTGGCTTCTGGAGATCCACTGATTCTGTGTTTTGGTCACTTTTTTTTGTGGCATCTTATTTTGGATTTGTGTAGGGTGTGAGATACTCTGCTTCTTCTGTGTCATTGCTGTGGTAATGTTTTCCATGTCTGGGTCTTTAATAGGCTCTTGGTCACTAGGCTTACTGCCCCAGAGGAGGAAAGGGTAGCTCAGCCACCTGAATTTTTCTCTGATGCTTTGATTCAAGATAAGACTTGTTTCAATTGGGAGAAAGATGGCCTGGGAATGAACAATCTTTTGAATTATTGACCTTCTGAATTAGCAACCACCTCAGCCACAGCTAGGCAGGGTCCAGAGGATCCACAACTCAAGTACTGGCTCTAGGAAGGGCCAAGAGTACCAGGTGATGATGGGGAAGTAAATGGTTATATTGGTGCTCCTAGTGAAGAACATTGGGGCACCAGTGGATTGGTCTCAACGTGGCAGGACGGTCTTGTGCACCAGCTCAGTCCAGTTTAATACTCTTTGCCAACACCACAATTCAAAGGTAGCAGCTTTTCTTTGGTTTTCTTTATGCATTGTCCAACTTTCATACACATGTGAGGAAACTGAAAATATAATTACTTGGGTTGCCAAACATTAGTTCTCAAGTGACATCCTCTCTTTTTAGCACTTTAAAAATATTTTCCCATTGTCTTATGTGTTTTGAAATTTAAACTGATGCTTGTGTAGAAATTGATTGTAGATCCAACTGAAATTAATTTCTGATAACTGCAATCCTTTTTTTATTTATCATGTTGTTATTTGTTGGTTGGTAGAGTTGTGAGTTTGGGTTTGTTGTTGCTTTGGTTTTTTGTGTGTTTTTTTTCTAAATTTGGAATGTACTCTAGGTAGAAGTCTTTGAGCTTCACTATTAAGTACCTTAACTTTTCATGTTCTACAAAGTTATGCCGTTTGCACATTGCAGGCTGTTAATGAGTATCCCTTCAAGCCTGATGTCATGTGTGGGTCCATAGTCATGCTTTTCCTATTATTTGCTCTTCATACAGATAAAATAGGTATGGTGAAAGAATACAAGCTGGTGCTCACCTTTCCTCATTTTAATCCCTTGTTCTGTTTGAAAGAGTGTCCTGAGGAATGTTCATTAAAAAAAGGATAGTCTTGTTTCACATACATTGTGCATGTTATCAGAATGAGCAGTCCCTATCATGTTCAATAAAGAAGAGAGTAAGCTTAAGGGAAGAAAACTCCTAGTAAGATGTATTGACACAATGGCTGTAATAATGACTCGAATCATAACAAAGATTGTGAGAAAGATACAGAATTTGTCAGTGCTTCCTTCTTTAGTTAGAAAGGCTTTAGTTCACCACGACAAAATAAAGGTAAACAATCCAAATGTAAAATGGGTACATCATATGAACAGACACTTCAAAGAAGACATTCAGATGGTGAACAAACACATGAAGAAATGTTAAAAATCCCTAACTCTAAAAGGGATGCAAATCAAAACAACTATCAGATATCATCTCACCCCAGCAAGAAGAGAAAAATCTAACAGAGCAGTAATCAACAAATGTTGGCAAGGTTGTGGAGAAACTGGAACCCTTATTCACTGTTAGTGGGAGTGTAAAATGGTGCAACCACTATGGAAGACAATATGGTGCTTTCTCAAAAAGTTGGAAATAGAAATACCATTTGACCCAGCAATTCCACTACTTAGGAATATATAGGGAATATAGCCTAAAGAAACTAGAACTGCCACCCAAGCAGATATATGCACACCCATGTTTATTGTGGCTTTGTTCACAATAGCAGAGAGTTGGAAACGACGCCAGTGCCTATCAACAAATGAGTGGATAGAGAAGCTGTGATATATTAATACAATGGCATATTATGGAGCACTGAAAAACAAAAAACTCATGAAATATTATACATAATGGTGACCCTGGAGGACATCATGCTAGTAAAATATCTCAGTCACAAAAAAACAAATACTGCATAATGCCACTGTTATAGAACAGGACTGACATGGGGACTGAAGGGAAACTAAGAAAAAGAGGGGATAAATAATGTACACAGCATTGAAACAGACCAGGGAGAGTACTGTATAAAAGGAATATATGATTAGGTATTATTGGAATGACAAGAATCCAGAATAAGAGTTGCATAGTAAAGTGGTTGGGAGGGAGGCACTGTATTACAATGAAAAAAAAATTTTTTTTCAAAGAAAAAAGTGAACTCGGGGAGTGAGGAGGCAGGGAGGAAAATGCACCACAATGAAACAATGGAAATCCAAGTTCTTTATAAACTTTCATTAAAATCTTTAAAAAAAAAAGGCTTTAGCTAGGAAGCCTTCTTTCTCTAGTTAGACCACTATGAGCTGGAGGCAACTTAGTGGAACCTAACAACATGCCCCTATTTTAGTGGAGTGCATCAATCTCAACACTTACTCTTCGAGTTGTCCTCAACATTGTGATATTCCTTTTCCCCCCTCCCACCTCATTTTTCAATCCTATCTGTCCTACAAGGTCTTGATGAGTTAGTTATAAGTCAGAATTCACTCCATGACAGTAGTTTTTGAGCTTTTCTAGTTTGTTAATTTATTATGGTTTTATTTATCTTTTAGATGATGCAAGCATACATCTGTTCTTTCTCCACAAACGGTCTCCAGTAGTGGTCCATAGAAAGAGCTTGACAGGTATAATCTGCTGTTTGCTAGCCCAGGTGAACCCTGGCAGTAGGGACGTGCAAGAGTAGGATTCAAAGATTTGGCGGAGCATTTTGTTAAAATAAGAAGATAAAATTAAAGAGGATGGACATTGGAGCTCCCTTGGAGACAGGTACCACTCCCATAATTGGCCGGTCTTTCTGGTTGGTCTTCAGCCCCTGTTGGGCCACACCCCTTTTTGGGTGACATCCCTCCTGTTAGTTGCTTCAGACCTTGTTTTCTTAGCCTTATTCATTGTCAGGCATGTAATTTAGGGACCTCCTCCAGACTAGGATTGCCGCGCAGGGGAAGCTGCAGGAACAGCCGCGCGTGGCTCTGGGATTCGAGCGCTGGTCCCACTGGCATTTCCACCTTGGCTCTGAGCCCAGGTTTATCCATCACGCTGGAAGTCTATGAGAGTACGGGGCAATTTTCCCCCTCCATCGTGGTCAAGGCTCTAGAGCGCGGGAGGGCAGCGCGCACTAACCCCGCCCCGCTGTCACCCTGTGGCACAGCTGCATGCACTGTCACTGAGAATTGGAGGTAGGGGGTCCAGTGAGGACCCCATCTGTCATCTGACGCCAGCAATTCAGGAGGCTGCGGAGGCGGAGTGCAGGAGAGAAAGGCCTGCTCTCCCTGGGCCAGCACACTGGCTCCAAGACACCATGGCCCAGAAACTACTGCTACTGCTATTCTGCCTCATCTTGGGTTTGCGCGCAAGGTAAGTGAGGAAGGGGTTCCCAGGGCACGCTCGCCAATGACTCGCCTGAGGCACCTAGTGGTGCTGGGCACCCCCCACCTCACTCTCCATCCAGTACTCACCTGTCCCACCTTTCCGGATGTGGCTGGCTCCTCCCTGGCTGCAATTGCAGTCTTTTAAGAATCCAGGAATTTGGAAGATTTAGAGATAAATGGGCTCTAAGCACAAAGCTTCTAACATCTGATAGTTTTTAGGGGTTTTTACAAAATAAGAAAAGAGAACCGCAAAGGTGTTGTCACTGCTTTTCTCTATCTCCCTCAAATGCACCTGAAGCACACCCACACGTTGACCCACACATGCCCAAGTTTCCTAATGTCTAGTTTAGACTGACAACTGCCAGAAGGAAATTAGAAATGGGTTCGGGGAGGTGAACAGTCTGATTTGTCTGAATAGATTCCCATCCCTAGATTACACATACTCGCATACACATACACTCACATGCCACATTAGAATCGTACATTAGTAGATCATACATACACGGGAGATCCAGCATGTTGGAAATAATAATAAGGCTCTTTAATTGAAGAAATTACCTTTTTATAAATACCCTCTATGACCTTTTCTCTTGTGAAAAGACTCTTAGAATCTAAGAGAGCTCTCTAAATACAAGTCTAAAAAGCCCTAAAATAGCTTCGGAAGAGATGAAGAGAGATTTTGAGGACAGAAGGACTTTGGGGAGAGAAGGGTTAAAACTGTTGCTATAAACGCAACTAGAAATTCTGTGTTTGATTTCTCTAATTCTATCTCCCAGGCAGGATTTCTGGCCTACCACTTGCAGACTAATCTGTGGTTTTGAAATCAGTACAGCTCTGCCTCTCCCCCAGGTCTTATAGCACTCCCATTCCTTTTGTTTTCAGCTTTTTCTTTTCCAAGTCTGGACCCTCTGCAGGTGGTAGGAGTTACTGTTTGGAAGCCTTGCATTTCCTAACATAAGTCAAAAGAACTGGGAAGACTCATTAGACTCATTAACCCAACTAAAAAAGCCTGGAAGGGCCCCAGTTCTCATTCCCCACCCCTCACCCCCGGTGTTAGCCCTAAGGAAGCTCACCTCTGTATCTCTTGTCTTGGCTGAAAAAATAGACAGTGAGCCAGAAAGGGCAGATGCAGTTTCTATCCTCACAGGCAACTTTCTCACTCAGCCTTGAGTCTTTCAGCTAAAGAGTCTCCAAAAGGAGAAATCTATAAATGGGAAGGGGAGTGCATCTCTGTCTAGAGGCTGAGAGGCAAACAGGCAACATCAGGGTAATAGAGATCCAAAGTCGTGCTCAGATTGGAAGTCATATTTAAATGACTGTTCTATTGCCACTGATTTTGATGATGTGAGCTCAAGCAGCTCAAGATCAAGTACTCAATAGTTTGTCACTTAACATTCAAGAAAGAAAATTACCTATTATCCCCATAACTTTTATGTGCTTTATTTGAATGTAATCTTAACATATAACTTGATTCAATCATTTTCTCCAGGATTCCCAAATAAAAATAAAATTTTTTTATCATTTTAATTCTTCCATCTTGCCACGGTAATGTAATGATTTTAATATGACATAACTTTAGATTGGTTCTTTACTTCTCATAATAGAGATTACATAGCTTTTGAAAATAATCTAATATTTAAATTAATTTTAGTAGTTTAGGCCTGTCCTTGCAAAATGCCTATATTCTTTGTATATGTGCTAAAGATTTAGAAAACATCTTGATTTCCAGCTTTCTATTTCAAAGTTATTATGAATTCCAAGGATATCATCAATTACATTCTGACATGTCTTTCTTGTGTTGAAGTTATCAGGAAAGATTCTGGCCCTTATGCTTTATGTAAATGAGTTGTCAGTCTCCCTACTCGGACATTCACGGGTGAACTTACTACACATTAAAACATTATTACACATTCCATTAAACATGGAATCTTGATGATACCTTGAAGGGACTACTGGGGTGTTGGTTTACTTACTGAGGTTTCAGAGTTATTTTAATTTTAAAAATGAAAAATATTTCTGATTTTTTCTCTGTCCTGAATGAAGACAAAATATAACTTATCAAAATACTATCTAAGATGGGAAAGTTATTGACAATAGTACATCATTGATTTCTTTTTAAGAAAAAGGTGGTTTTAGGGATAATACTTTAAAACACAATAATCCAAATAATAAGCATACTCATAAATATTATACATAACCCATTTAGAATTAAATTTAAAAAAAGCAATTCTTTTATCCACAATCTAGTGAATCTCCTAAAATGAGATTTTCTTTTCCTTAAAGCAAGGATATATACTGCTGATTTGTTCTGGCAGTAGCAGTGTGAAGCTTCTCTTCCTAAACAACATGCCTCTGGGAAATCTATGAACTTTGGTAAATGTCCATGGGTGTACAGGGGCTTCAGGCCTCTTGTTCATAGGGTCGCTATGAGTTGTGCTCGACTTGAAAGCAATCAACAACATCATTTAAAATTGAGGGGGGAACAAAGTTATTCTTCTTTTATCCACATTCTAGTGAATCTCCTAAAATGAGATTTTATTTTCCTCAAAGCAGGGATATATTATTGATTTGTTCTGGCAGTAGCAGCGAGAAGCTTCTCTTTAGTTTTATGAAGTCCTTAGTGAGCTGACAACTTTCTTGGCGACCATGGGCTGGAGGAGCCCAACATTGAGCACTGAGAGGCCAAGAATTTATCTGCCCACACAATCTGTCCATGCAACTTTAGACAAACTATGGATCCTATGCCCATAATATTTCTTGAAGCGTAAGAGATAATGCTCTTACTTTTCCTTTCCCTTCCTTTTAGTCTTCTCTGACTTGACTTTTCTCTAAGGGAGAAACTTAGACAGTTTTAGGAAAATGCTACCATTACTATAAGCAAGAAAACTTGGTTAATTATACTACTTAATATTTGTTATTGAAGTAGCTCAAATAATTTTCTGAAACAAAAGCTGCTTACATAGAGAAAAGACAGATCAAGAGTTTATGAATGTACTGGATTTATCTATGTATAACTACCGGTGATACTGGAAATGGCAGCATGCCTCTCCAAAATGCTTAGGAGCAATGATGTCGATTTGAAGACTAAGGTGTACCTGACCCAGGCCATGGCCTTTCCAGTCACCTGCTACACTCTAAGAATTGGACAAGACATAAGAATGGCAAAAGGAAAATTGATACCTTTGTGTTGTAGTATTGAAGAAAAGCAGTGATGTGGATTGTGGAAAGAACAGATATGTCATGGGAAAAGTGCAGCTGCAGTGCTCCTTGGAGGCAAAGATGATGAAGCTCTGTATATCATACTTTGGACTTGTTGCTAGGAGAGGCTATTCCTTGGAAAGAGGCATTATGCTTAGAAAGGTAGAGGGTCAGCATAAGAAAGAAAGCCCTGATGAGATAGATTGACCTAATGACTGCAGTAATGGACTAAAATGTGTCAGAGATAATGATGGTGGCAAAAGATAGGATAGGTTTCAGATAAATTGTTGATTAAGTCCCTATGAGTTGTGATTGACTTAAGGGCACTTAACAACAACAGCAATGCTTTTCTAGTGGGAACACCTTTGCTGGTCTAAAGCAGATGGAAGGAAGAGATGATGACAGAGAATAGGAGGGTGGGCAAGGAGAAAGGAAGATAGGAAAGGGCAGATGAGAGAGAATAAAGAAGAAAGAGAGAAGTAGAGAGAGCAAGCAAACAATATTGTGGCAGAGTGTGGAATGTGTCCTGAGAAAGCCATGAATGAATTTTCCAGAGTGAATTGCTCATCTTTCAACTAAGACTGCTTTGTCTGGAATGACTTGCTGAGGTACACTGGCAATGACTGGTTTCTATGCATGTCTTCTAGCATATCCTTCAATCTTTTCTTATCAATTTTATAAAACTAACATTCCTGATCATCATAAAATCATAATTTTAAATCCTTTAGTATTACCAGTATAAATTTACCTTTACAGATAATGGAATGAAACATATTATTAAATATGTTTTGCAAATGTTATAGGTTAATTTTTATTCCAAATGTTCAGCATAAATAAATGTATCTCACAGCAGTTTAGAGTTTTAGTGATTGAAATGTAAAATGGTGCAACCCCTGTGGAAAGCAGTATGGTGCTTTCTCAAAAAGTTGCAAATAGAGATACCATTTGACCCAGCAATTCCACTACTGGGAATATACCCTGAAGAGACCATAGCTGACATCCAAGCAGATATATGCACACCCATGTTTATTGCAGCTTTGTTCACAATAGCAAGGAGTTGGAAACAACCTAAGTGCCCATCAACAAATGAATGGCTAGAGAAGCTGTGGTATATTCGAACAATGGAATACTATGCTGCATTAAAAAACAAGGAACTCATGCAATATTATTCAAAATGGTTGACTCTGGAGAACATTATGCTGAGTGAAATATCCCAGTCACAAAAGGACAAATATTACATGATGCCACTGTTGTAGAATGGGACTGTCCTTGGGGTTGGGGAGAGACTGAGTAAGATGGGTTCAATAATGTATACTGCACTGAAACAGAGGAGGGAGAAAACTGTTTAAAAGATATATGACTAGGTATTTCTGTCATCACAGGAGTCTAGAGCGAGGGCTACATGGTGGAGGGGAACTGGGGGAGGGTTTGTAAAACAATGAAAGAATCCTTTCTTTTACTTTTCCATAATTTTTGACTCATGTACTTATAACTTGTTAGTCAAATTTGTGTCTTCTAGGTTGCAACACCCCCATGATACATCTTCAAGGATATGAACATGTACGGCTAAGCACAATTAATAACAGTGCATCTAAATTCCAAAATCAATCTCCATAATAGTCTATGTGTTTCCTACTGCCAAAGGGGCCCTTTAGAGTAGTGAGAGAAGATCTTCACCCTGAAACCCACAGTGGCCCTTTTCAGCAGGAAGTAGCTAAGAGAATACGCCATCCCCTTTTCCTTATGAATCAGGGTGAAGTCTCTCTCAGGGAGGAGTGATAGGGAATGGCAAAGGACACACCGACAAAAGAGATTAATCAGAACTGACTTTGACAAGCACTGTGGCAATTGGACAATTAAAACAGACATTCGGATGGCGGGGAAGAAGAAAAAACTGGGGAGGAGGGTAGAGAGAATGGTGCAGCAATGAAGGAATGAAAACCCCAAATCCCTGTAAATGTTCATTAAAACTAATAAAATTTAATAATAAAAAAAGAAATGTAAAATATTCAACAGTAACATTCATGATGAGATGCATAAGAAAATCACTGCCAGACATGTTGTTGCTGTTGCTATGTGCTGTCGAGTCACCAGCAACCCTATGTACAACAGCACTAAACCTTGCTCTATCCTGTGCCAACCTCATTGTATCTGACACACCTATCCCAATTACCCCAGTCACTGAATCAATCCACTTCATTAGGGGGTCTTCCTTTCCTGGGCTGTCCCTTCACCCTCCCAAGCATGACGCCTTTCTCTAAGGACTGATACCTCCTTGCAGCTCGTCCAAAGTATGTCAGCTGAAGCTTCAGAAACCTTGACTCCAAGGAGAAGCCTGGTTTAATCCTCTCTAGGTCAGACCTGTTCGTTTTCTTAGCAGTTAGTGGTATATTCAATAATCTTCTCCAACACCACAGCTTGGAAGCCATCAATTCTTCAATCCTCTCTAGTCATTATCCAGCTCTCTGATGCATAGCAAGTGATTACAAAGACCATGGCCTTTATCAAAGCGCACCTTAGTCTCCAGAGTGATACCATTGCTCTTCAGTAATTTGGAGAAGTTCCTAACAGCAGACTCTCCAATCACAGTGTGTCTTTTAATTTCCTGGCTGCTGGTGCCGAGAGTGTTGACTGTGGAACTATGAAAAAAAATATATATGCCATTTATGTGTCTTTATATTATATATATACAAAATTAATATGAAGACTGATCCTTAAATAGAGGTAATTAACTTAACAAAATTTATTTTTTCATTTATTTGATGTTCATTATAGATAAGTTGTTGTTGTTGTGTGCCATCAAATCAACTGTAACTCATAGAGACCTTATGAACAACAAATCTGAACCTAGACCTATCTTGTGCCATCCTCACTATCTCTGATATACTTAAGCTTGACTTTCAGAAGTTCTCAAGGTAGGTCCACGGATGAGTGGATGCCTATCTTCTGGCACTGATTTACAGGTGAAAATGCCTGTTGTTTAATTATAGAATTGTGATTTATTTGCAACATTATTGAACAAAACAAAAGCTGGATTCCATCATGCCATGTTCTTAGTGGTGGAATTTATCCTACTGAGTGTTTTTAGTCTTATTTGTTTATTTATTCACTTTAAAGATAATGCATGCAGTTGAGCTTAGAGAACTTGAGTTTTCTATCCAATAGCGGCTTATCTCGAACTTAGCAGAACTTGTGTAGTGTTTGAGTGGGGAAATCTTAAGGCACTACACAAGTTATGAACATACCTTCTAAGCCACTTTTATGCCATAATTACAGATCCAGAAAGTTGGAAGAGAATAAATATGAAGAGTCATCCTCAAATCAAAAGTGGGTGCTGGCACCAAAATCCCAGGACACAGACATGACTTTTGTCCTTAACAAGTTGCTACGAGAATATGATAAAAAGTTGAGGCCAGATATTGGAAGTGAGTATATATTTTTGTTATTCCAACGAAACATAAGCTATGATGTTTTTCTTTTGATAGAATTATAGATTCAGAGAAAGTTGTAAAGATTCTCATTGTTAGAGATACCTCTCGTATTCTTAAAAAGTTTCCAAATGGTTGATTACATTGTACTTTGTAATTACAGTGAGATATATATACATATATATACATATAATTGATACACAGTATGTATACAGTTTTATGCTATTTTATCACATCTGTAGATCTGTAATACTACTGCAATCAAATATCACCAAAATCTCCCTTCTGCTAAACCTTCATCGTGATACCTCCTTCAGCTAACAGCCCTAACCACAAGAAACCACTATTTTTTTCTCCACTTTTATGTTTTTGTCACTTTGAGAATTAAATGAACAATTGAAATAAATGCACCTTTTAATATTTGACCTTTTGAGATATTTTCCTCCTACTCAAAATTGCTTTGAAATCCATGTAAATAGTTGTTTTGTACCATCCAGATGCCTGTGGCTCATAGTGACCCTATGAGTCGCTAATAGTTCAGAACACTGTCTAGTAGTTTGTTCCTTTGTGTATTAATGTATGGCACAGATGTGCTAGCTTGTTAACTGTTCACCAGTTGAAGAGCCTTTTAGTGACTCCCAGTACATGGTAATTATAAATAAAATTATTGTGAATGTCTGCATACAGGTTTTACTATGGACTTACAATTTTATTTCCCTCGAATAAATGTTCATAAATATGCTGAGAGTAGGGTTTTTCCTTTAGAAGCTGTAAAACGTATTTCCAAAGGTTTTGTTGTTGTAGTTGTTGTTATGTGCCCTCAAGTCACTTACGACTCATAAGTAACCCTATGTGCAACAGCCCTAAACTTTGCTCTATCCTGTGCTAATCACACTGCCTCTGACACACCCATCCTGATTACCCCAGTCACTGAATCAGTCCACCTCATAGAAGGTCCTTCCCCTCCTGTGCTGTCCCTCCACCCTCCCAAGCATGATGTCCCTCTCCAAGGACTTGTCCCTCCTTACAAAATGTCCAAAGTATGTCAGACGAAGGCGCAGAATCCTTGCCTCCAAGGAGCAGCCTGGTTTAACCTTCTCCAGGATGAATCTGTTTGTTTTCTTGGCAGTCCATGGTA